ACACACACACACACACATACACACACACACACGCACGCACGCACGCACGCACACACACACACACACACACATACAGAAATGACGTATGTATTTTCAACATACAATAACGAAACTTATTCTTCTAACCTTTCTTTATAAACATATAAGGGTTTTTATTTATTTATTTACTTTTTTTTTTTTTAAGAAGGCGTCCAATTTCATTTATATCGCCTTTATTTTTAATATATTTTAATACTTTGGAAAATATGAATATTACGAAATAAAAAATATTAACTTTATTAATAATCTATTAATAATTTAAGAAATACACGCTAGAATTTAACATTAATAATGTGCATTTTAAGATTAGTTTGTTGGAAAATGTACATACTATGTAATATACATATTTTGTATTAAATTATGCATAATACGAGTAACAAAATACTTAATAATACAAAATTTATAACACACTCCTGAATAGCTCGATACTAGAGCAATTGCTTATTAAGCAAAAGATCTGGGTTCAATTTCCATAATTTTCATCTCAAATACGTAAGTAAGAAAATATTCCACTGTATAGGAATAAAATATCAAAAAAAAAACTTAATCTTAAGATAACAGGATAAACAAATTAAACACAAATTTTTAAGAAATGTTAATTATAAATTTACAAAGTTATAAATACTTTTATGTAGATAAGTATACATACCAAGGAGATTGTGTCCTACTATATGAACTGGTCCACTGCCCTTAACCAATGTGAACGTGACTGGAGGATCTGGGAAACTGAGATCAAGAATGATCTGCGCTGTTTTTCCCATCTCTAGCAAGGCAATTGGAGTTTTGATGGGGCCCTTTAAACCCATCGCCTCAACCTGCAGGACATTGAGCTCTCCAGGTTTAGCTTCTGGTCCCAGAAGAGCCTAAAAATTTAAAATTTATTATTATATCATTATATTTATTATAATAACAAATACCATGTGAGAAATTATATTTAAAAATGTATAATATATAATATTGAATATAAATAAAATTTTTATTATAATTCTTAGAAATATAAGTCAATCAAAATTTAATTCTGTGATATAACTAATAACCAATAATTTTTATAAATAAAAGAGGAAAGGTACATATTTAACTTTCTTATAATTTTGCTGTTTATTAATTGCATTTCACCTCAAATAGTTTTGTTTATAGAGCTTAGACAGTTCGATCAATTTCGATCTTTTTAGGTTAGAAAATAGCTTATCTCCTAAAAAAAATAAGAACACGTAAATATTTTTGTATTTATAAATAAAAACAAATAAAAAAGGATAAATTTAATGTTTTCGTGACTTTTAAGTTTAACGTCAACTAATACAGAAGTGCAAAGCATAACATAAGATGTTAGGTATTATAAAAATTCTATTTTTTTTTACAATAGTTAAAAATAATGTTTAGAGTAGAATGTAATGTATAATATACTTCAGATAATTCTTGTAAAATTAAGTATTTTAATGTCTATGATTTACTTTGTGATATACTTCGCAATTCGAAAACCGATACACTACGGATTGTAATTTCATTTGTACACGGCGGTCCACCAGATGAATCGCAAGTTCCTCGTCCATTCAAATCGACCGAGTCACAAAATTCCGTTATAATCTTTATCCTGCGATATAATAGAGCCCTATCTAAAGTAAAGTGGGGGGAAGGGCGAAGCCGTGAAAAAATGGCGCCAAGCATTAAACTTTTTCCGGTGTTCGTCAGAGATAATTATAACGGGAAGACACAAATCAATCAATCGCCGTAACGCCGTAACGGAGCGAGACTCCGGTGCCTCGATCCGTTTCGGAGAAATCACGGCGATCGTTGAACGACTTGAAAATAGAGAACGGATCGCGTTCCTGGGTGAAAAGACCCGTGATCGATTGTTATCCCGGTTATTTCGGAGACACGGAGTGTTTCTCTTTTTCGATCGGAGAGAATGGAAACGCTCGGAGTCGGGGGGTCGTTAAAGTTTCGCGCGCAAAACGTTCCTTGACGACGATGGTGACGATGTGTGTGAGCGCTGTGAGGAGAGAAACCGAGGTGTCGCCAAAAATGATGTCTGAACAACGATCAAGAACGCGGAACGCGAAATCATGCATCGCGGTAAAACTGGACAACGCCGAGTAGCGACGAGAAAATGCATGCCCCACCACGGAGCGAAGCACCCGGATGCACGTCGAAAATGCTCGCGGAGACGACGACGACGACGACGACGACGACGACGACGACGACGACGACGGCTCCTCTCTCGATAACGGGAATACCGGGCAGATGGACGGACAGACGGGAAAGGCCTCCGCGGTGACGCGGAACGACGGCAACGTCCCTGTTGTCACAGTCGCCCGCGGAACGTGGCACTCACCATTTTTATAATGAGCTTCTGATCGGCGCCAATGTGCTGGGCCGTGCCGTCCGAATCGTCGTTCTTGTGCTCCGGGTCCCATACCTCGCTCGCGTTCGGTCCCTCGAGAGTGATTCCTGGACACAGAAAAAATGACGGAAGTCGTACTAGCGCCGAGAGACGCCGGCCGGCGCGATGCGATGTGATGCGGTAGCATCAGCCAGGTGGGCTGTCGCATACGTACGATACCGTGCACGCCGGCCTCTCGGGCCTCGACACAATGGGGCTCGGCGATCAGCAATGGCCGAAGGCCCAACCGGCGTCTCCGGCCAGTGCACCCCCTTCGTGCTTAAATGGCCGACGGCACGTAAGTATCCGCGTGCGCCGCGAAATAGCGGAGCCACGGCGACCGCGACATTGCGGCCGATCATATTTACCGTACAGATACTCCTCTGCCATGGCGATCGGTCTGCTATTAATGGATTCCCGTCAGCGTGAATGCGTAGATGTGTCCGTGGAAACGGCGGCGGGCGGGCGAGCGGACGTGTGCGTGCCGTGCGCGGTGATGGAGTAGAGCGTGAGGAAAGCGAACGCCGCGCGCGCAACGGTTACTGTGTTACTGCGCGAGAGGAACGGTCACCGCACGTGCCGGTCGTCGCACGAGCGCGTAGTAAATGAGTTTCGCCTAGCTGGCCTTGCGCGCCTAGACTACGTTCCACGCGCCGATTGGTCGATCGCGGCTGGGCGGCGTTGCCGTCGTCATCGCCGCCGCCGCCGCCGCCAAAGGCATAAAGGTACGATTTCATGCTAACGGCTAACGCTCGACGCTCATTTTTAGCGTCAAAACAGATCACATGATCAAAATTGATGCTTGGTATTTGTCAATTTTGATCATGTGATCTGTTTTAACGCTAAAAATGAGAGTGAAGCGTCAGTATAAAAAGGCAGCTTTAATAATTCTTCCTTTAGAATTTAATGATAAACTTTTTGATAAATACTTATATCAGCAACATTATTATTAATATTATATATATATATTATTAATATTAATATATATATATATATATTAATGAATGATTATTGGAATAAATAGGTCTATTTTTTTTATAATTGAACTAATATTCTTTGTAACTTAAAGGGAAATAGATATACTATATTTGAAATTTGGCGAAAGTTAGAAAGAAAGTTTAACAGTTTAATACCGTAATAAAAACAAATCAAATATCTAGCAATCTATATACACGATCCGTATTGATTTTCATTTCTTTTTATGTTGGTCAGAACGATCGGATACTCAAGTTGGTCAATTGAAAGTCGAAAGAATTTTTATTGCGCGACATTCATCTTCACATCACGTTTAAATGTGACTTTTTCTTTTCTTACTTTTCCAAGGAACAATTCTGTTCTGATTTTCAATGATTGATATATTACAATGTATTTGTGAGTTATCTGACTTAAATTATAGTCATTGTCATTAAGTTAGTTTTTGATTATGTTAGTTTTTGATAACTTAAATAATCAATTTTATAAAATACTTATAAAATAATTCTTTATCAATTAACAACTAGTATACATATAAATAATAGCTTAATTTAAATATTACAATAAACAATACATAATATAATATACACACATATATATATATAATCTCTTTCTTTTTAATCTGTCTCTCTGTCGATGTTGACTCACAAATTCATTTATAATATATATTATATTTATAATATATATAACTGTACACATGTTACAATAATGCTTGTCATTTTACCAAGTCATCTTAACATCATCTAATTGTAAGTAATTTTAATTTTAGTTTTGTTGTCAACTATATTTACTTTATGAAAAATTTTAGTCTGTTTTTGACTTCACTGCTTAAGTGTTTTTCTAAATACTTGAGCGATCAATGACATTTGAATTTGAACAAAATGACAATTTGACTACGCCTCTGCATTTATTGCGAGACTAATAATGAACTGGAATATTTACTGGTGATTCTGATTTTATTCATTGTACTGAAGAGGACTCGAATAGGAATCGAAACATGTACGTTTTTTATTATATTTATCTACTAATATATATTTTTAAATACACTGTAATCTCTTCT